GGATCAGAAAATGAAGGATCAGAATTGATATTGATATGAATGCGGTGTGAATTGATATTCCCAAACAGAGTACCATTAGATTGTCGTGTCAGATTGATACTAATATTCCAGCATATACTTTGACTGCTAATGTTGCTCTGCTCTGGTGAAGGAAGAATTGTTTTAAAGAACTCAATAAAGTTAACAGCATCTTCCAATGCCTTTCCTTTGTTGACAAATTTGGATAAATTGAGTGAATCAAAACATTTTAGTAGCTTTCCATTTATCAGATCATCTTCAAGAGTAGCTATGATAAAAATTATTCATTGATTGATAATTAGTGCTTACTAACTTTTAATGTGTTGTCTTCTGCCCTGAGTGACAGTTTCTCTTCTTCCCTTGATCAATACTTTAAACTGTAAATAAAGCAAAACTGCCAAAATTAAAAAGAGTAGCAAACACACTCTGCGGGATTGCAACATCACCTCTTGCTCTTTTAGAATAGATATCAAATAGGAATAGACTTGCCTCAAGTTTCAATAAATAACGACAGTTTTATTCTTTAATTTGAAGCATAATTCTAGTCTTCCAATGAATTGGTGGCCGCGTAGTTAGGGAAAATAGTGCTTGCGGTTAGTCTCGCCATATTGTCTCGCGTAGCCGTAGTGTCCGGCTACGCGAGACTAGTGTAATGTTTGGCATTGCAATATTTTTGGCACTAAATTTTGGCATTTCCAAAGGTGAAGTTTCAGGGGTATGTCAATGTGTTTGCATGATCATAATAATGAGAAATTCCTCATATAAAAACCAGGAAATTCCTCATAAAACTGGTTCTATACTGAGGACTGATTTTCAATGGTCATTTGCCAGTATATCATAGTAGTATGCAGTGTGGTGTAAAGTATTGTCGGTATACTAGCTGTGTCAAAACTGAGCTATAATGTAGCTTTGTAGCAATATATAATGAGATGCTGTAAATTTATGCAAGATATAAATGAATACGTGCATAGTTGCATGAAATACAATTATTTTAAATAATACACTATTATTCTTGCCACGAGTGGCTCCATGAGTGATTCTTGTCATTTAGTAACTGGACTAGC